GCGCCCCCGGTCCCCGCCCCCTGGCACCCGGCGGGCAAACGGCCACGCCCCCTGGCGCCCGACAACCGAAAAAGGTTGGGGACCACTGGTCTAGCTCATCCCTGAGAGGTGTGTGTCCAGCCTGCTCTTCAGTATCTCCAGGGATGGGGATTCCACAACCTCCCTGGCTGCAGTTTAAGCCCATTGCTGCTTGTCCTATTGTCAGAGGCCCAGGAGAACATAAGAGCGGCCAGACTGGGTCAGACCAAAGGTCCATCCAGCCCAGTGTCCGGTCGGCCGACAGCGGCCAGTGCCAGATGCCCCAGAGGGACGGATCACAACAGGGAATCCTCCCGTGGTCCTCCCCAGTCCCCATTTCCAGACGGAGGCTCTGGACACCGTTCCTCCCCAGCCTGGGTCAGTTTTCTCCCTCCTCCCTGTGACACCCTTTTAGATACTTGAAAACTGCTCTCATGTCCCCCTCAGTCTTCTCCTTGCCAAACTAAACAAGCCCAGTTCCTTCAGCCCCCCCTCATGGTTTGTGTTCTCTAGACCTTTGATCATTCTCGTTGCTCTTCTCCGGACCGTCTCCCATTTCTCCACATCCTTCCTGAAATGCGCTGCCCAGAACGGGACACGAGACTCCAGCTGAGGCCGAATCAGAGCAGAGCGGGAGAACGACTCCTCGTGTCTGGCTCACAACACTCCTGCTAATGCAGCCCAGAATCACGTTTGCTTTTTTTGCAGCAGTGACACACTGTTGGCTCATATTCAGCTCCTGGTCCACTCTGACCCCTAGATCAGGACTCCTCCCTAGACAGTCACTTCCCATTCCGTATGTGTGACACGGATTGGTACTTCCTAAGGGGAAGCTGTCCAGAGTCTTTCTCAACACGGGGGAGGGGCAGCAGAGCCATGCCTGACCCCGCAGAGTGGCATGCCTGGCCATTGCTCTGTGCTGGGTGGCCAGCAGGGCCAGGGGTCCACTCTGACCCCTAGATCAGGACTCCTCCCTAGACAGTCACTTCCCATTCCGTATGTGTGACACGGATTGGTACTTCCTAAGGGGAAGCTGTCCAGAGTCTTTCTCAACACGGGGGAGGGGCAGCAGAGCCATGCCTGACCCCGCAGAGTGGCATGCCTGGCCATTGCTCTGTGCTGGGTGGCCAGCAGGGCCAGGGGGTGCTGCTGGAGCCATGGAACGTGTTCGTCACCTGTGGCTGGGTCTGACGCCGCCGTGACTAACGGAGAGACAGCGAGACGGGGCGAGGCTGGGTGTGTGACGGAGCCCACGCC